CCATTGCGCAGAGCAGGTAACTATAGGCATGTTTGTTATTTTAAAACGAAAAAAAAGTTGAACCTTTACAAGCACTTTACAAAACACACACGGTTTATTTCACATTATCCCTTTTCTTTCTGTATGTAGATGATGGCACTGTAATTATTTTAATAAAACTCTAAGTACCTTTTTCCTAATCAATATACAGCTGTCACATGACCCAGCTCTTTCCCAGCCTGTCTGCAGGGAAACATAAGCAGGAGGAGCCTCTAGTCTGAAAAAAGAAAAACAGCCTTTGGGACACAAAGTAAAAATAAATAAATAATGTAAATAAACTGTTTTAAATCGTCATAGAGATATACATGTGAAATCACATTTTTATTATTTTTGGCAATAACATGGTGTGGGTGGATTTCTGCCAGTCACAGGCTGTGTCACACCTTTCCAGCCTGTGTCTTAGAATAACAGGTGAAGCCACCATCAATCAAGATGTCATATTCCACCCTCATTGTGTTTTGCTGGTTAGTGGGCATGGAGGAGGAGGGAGGGAATGGGCTGTCATTTACCACTGTGTATACACCCACATGTGCGACTCTATGGTCACATGGGCTGCTCGACTATGATAGGGAGGAAATGCTCAGCATAGAAACTCACTGAAAACTGAGCATGTGCAGTGGCTGCCAACACTGCTCTGCAAAATCCCCAACTGCTGTGGGGACATAGGCAGGAGTGGGAGGTAGAGAACAGCAGTATCAACCAGAGTTTTTGCAGAATACAGAAAACGAATCCTATAGTAACTGCGTCAGTATATACAGCATGTAATACACCATTTATTGATAGGTTTTTATGAAGTGGGTTTTATGACACTTTAAGCTTGCCAAAGACATGAGCTGAGAGTTGCCATTTCCATCTCATGTCTATGGAGGCAGCCTGTCTGCTCAGACCAGGGGCGGACTGACCATTTGGAAACTCGGGCACTGCCCGGGGTCAGTAGGGGGCCCCATGAGATGCCCCTGGTACCTTTTTCATAGGCTTTTTTGAGTTTGGGCAAGGACACAGGGGCCCCAAGATCCCCTATTGCCCGGGGGCCCCATGAGTTGTCAGTCCGCCCCTGGCTCAGACATAATATTGATCAGATTAGTTTAGAAAACCTGTCCCAATAGCTATTACTCTCCCTTTTCTTGACAGAGTTATCCCTGACATCTTCCTGCCCCTCTCATCTCCTTCCTGCCCTTTTCCACTCCATTGACTTAAAATGTAATTTCGTCCCAGTGAGTGATTGTGTTTACTGAAACTTAATGCTATGGTGGTGGTTTGGGGGGTTGGCCAGCATGTGCTTGTTTATTCCTCTCAATAATCTAGGAGCACCTTGAGATGTGACCACATTCCGAATATCGCCGACCATGTAACCGGCATGTTTGTCTGACTCATTTGCAGGTGGAAATTCTCATTTCCTCTATTAAAAAAACCCCCATAGGGCAGGCACAATGTGAATAGTTTTCTATGCAGTGTGGGTGCAAACTGTACAAACACATTGATGAGGTAGACTACGCTGGCATTTCTCAACATTTTTATAGCAGAGGAAACCACAAAATAATTTTCAGGTCTTGAGGAACCCTTCCTAAAACCAGTTCATCGGGAGTCAGTAAGAACAATGCCCCCTATAGTGGTGGTCAGTAGGAAGAATGCAGCCCTTACAGTGGTGGTGAGAATGTCAGCCTTACAGACAGCTAAAAAGATCTTTGGTGTTATGCTGCTGACTTGCCAAGTGACATGGATGCGGGGACTATACAGGCACCATTAATCGGCCAAAGCTCAAGGAACCCCTGGCAATAGCTGAAGGAACCCTAGGGTTCCACGGGACCCTAGTTGAGAATGACTAGACTACTTGTCTAGTTATTGTCAATCAGATAAAAATGCAATATATATTATATGTGGGTGTATTTTGTTCCATTCTGTCTATCTTGACCTGTCTCTCTATCTCTACTGATTTATTTACTTTTCTTTTCATTTATTCTCTTTTCTTTCTCTGCCCTGGTGGCCGTTCAGCGCTTATTGCGCAGTCCTCAGAGCTCCGGAAGACAGTAGACTGTGTTTTGGTGCTTACCCAAGTCAGTGAAGGAATAGCATTCTTTAGATTGGCTTCTAATAGGTAAATAGTTTGGTTTATTTCTTTCACGCTATATCACTTTTTTCTGTGCTGTCCAGAGAAAATATAATACAGCTACATTTTAAAGGAGCTGTAGGATGCACAAATGTGTTTTATAAAGTGACTGTATTAGCAATGATCTCTAACTGTCTCATGTAATCTTTCTCCCGTCTCCTGAAGGATGTCCCCCAAACTCTGACCATCTCCTGCACCTTGTCCCCAGTCTCTGACCATCACTTGGAGTATTGTCTGTCTGTGCTCTCTGGCCATCTCCTGTAGCATGTCTGCAATCTCTGACCATCTACTGTAGTATGTCTATGCTCTCTGACCATCTCTTGTAGTACATCTGTGCTCTCTTGCCATCTTCTGTAGTATGTCTGCGCTCTCTAACCATCTCCTGTAGTAGTATGTCTGCAGTCTCTGACCATCTCCTGTAGTATGTCTATGCTCTCTAACATCTCCTGTAGTATGTTTATGCTCTCTAACATCTCCTGTAGTATGTCTGTGCTCTCTGGCCATCTCCTGTAGTATGTCTGCAGTCTCTGACCATCTCTTGTAGTATGTCTATGCTCTCTGACCATCTCTTGTAGTACATCTGTGCTCTCTGGCCATCTTCTGCAGTATGTCTGCGCTCTCTAACCATCTCCTGTAGTATGTCTGCAGTCTCTGACCATCTCCTGTAGTATGTCTATGCTCTCTAACATCTCCTGTAGTATGTCTTTGTTCTCTGGCCATCTCCTGTAGTATGTCTGCAGTCTCTGACCATCTCTTGTAGTATGTCTGTGCTCTCTGACTATCTCCTGTAGTTTGTCTATGCTCTCTAACCTTTTCCTGTAGCATGTCTGCAGTCTCTGACCAGTCTCTGTAATTAATATGTGTTTGGGTTTAAATGGATGAGGTGGCAAAATAACACTTGAGGCCAACTAATTTAAATAGTGGGCTACCACTGATCTCTATCTATCTATCTATCTTAGTCAATGGCTGATTGGCCACCTCAAAAGCATTTTAGTGTTTTATGGTCTTTACAGCTAGTCACTCAATAATCCTAGGTTCTAGCCACCAGCTTCCTGTATCCCAGCTCTCACCTCTATTCCCTGTGGACAAGTGTGGGTTAAATGTGGCTTAATTCCTGTACTTAAGCCTCAAACAAACCCACGCCCAGTTCCGTAATGAACCTCTTTACATCATAAAGCCCCATTAACAAAAGGCAGTTTGAATTTAAAGAGAATATTCTTGCTGAAGCTTCAGCTCCCTGAGGGGATGCACAAATGAACCTGTTATTTACAAGGAAATTATCATCAAAAATGGCCCTTTTCCTTTGAAATAGGGTGTAGCATGAACTCCCAATAGGAGGCTTCCATCCCCAGGCTCCTATGATCTTCAAGTTAGAATTCTGGTGTGGGGGGAGGGGTGATTGATTTATTGAAAATGTTATTGGTGTGTGTCAAACATTTTGTAAATATCTGCAAAAGGTGAAAATACATAACAATGAAAGTGATCAAGGGCTGACAGACAGTTATTACAAAGTGTTTTTTTATTAACGTGGTTGTAAAAGAAGAAGGTTTTTTTTACCTTAATCCATTCTCTGCCGTAAGGTAAAAAAAACCTTCTGTGATCCGTTTCCCTCTCTAAATACTTACCTGAGCCTGATCCAGAGATATTTCCAAGAGGAGCAATGCTTGATCTTTATTTCTCCGCAATAGACATGGAGACAGTAACGGGAGCTATTGGCTCCTGTTGCTGTCAGTCAAATCCTGTGATGTGGGATGTGGGGACTGTGTGTGTAAATGAACATATCTAGCTGGCTCAGGATGTATATGTATCCCCACCCCTAACAATCACTCTCTAACCCTAACATTAACCTGCACTCCATCCCCAACCCTAACACTTTCTTTTCCTGTAACCCAGTATTAACTCATTCTATATCCCCAACCCTAATCCTCCTTGTATCTCCAACCCTAAAACTACCCCTCCTTGTATCCCAAACCCTAACACTAACCCTTTCTGTATCCTCAACCCTAACTGTAACCTTCCCTTTATCCCCTACCCTAACATGTACCCTTCCTGTAACCCAACACTAACCCTTTCTGTATATCCAACCCTAATCCTCCTCATATTGTCAACTATAACACTAAGCCTCTTTGCATCCCCAACCCTAACTTTAACTTTCCCTGTATCCCCAACCCTAACATGTACCCTTCCTGTAACCAAACTCTAACCCTTTCTGTATCTCCAAATCTAATACTGTCCTTAAAACCTTAACATTAACCCACACTCCATCCCCAACCCTAACACTTGCCCTTCCTGTAACCCAACTCTAACCCTTTCTGTATCCCCAACCCTAAACCCCCTTGTATTTCCAACCCTAAAGCTAACCCTTCTTGTATCTCAAACCCTAACACTAACTCTGTATGTATCCCCATCCCTAACTCTAACCTTCCTTGAATCCCCAACCCTAACACTTGCCCTTCCTGGAACCCAACACTAACTCATTGTGATCTGATCCTCCATCATGCATGAAAGGATCTAGACCTGCATTTTTCAACCAGGTTCTTGTGGGACCCTAGGGTTCCTCCAGAGATTGCTAGGGGCTCTTTGAGCAATGAGAAATTTCTGCCTCTCAGATACAGTAAATAACCATCAACACCAATTATTTATTTAGCTATCTGTAAGAGGAGGTTTCTTCCCACTGACCACCAATGTAAGAAGCATTCTCCCCACTGGCCACCACTGTAAGAAGTATTTTTCCCACTGACCACCACTGTAAGATGTATTCTTCACAATGACCACCGCTGTAAGGAATATTCTTCTCACTGACTACCAATGTAATCAACATTCTTCCTACTGACCTTCAATGTAAGAAGGATTCTTCCCACTGACCACTACTGTAAGGTGTGCTCTTCCTACTGACACAAATGTAAGGAGCATTCTTCCTAATGACCGCCAATGTAAGGAACATTCTTCCTACTGACCACCAATGTAAGAGGTATTCTTCCTACTGACCACTACTGTAAAGAGCATTGTTACCACTGACCACCAATGTAAGAAGCATTCTTCCCACTGACCACCAATGTAAGGAACATTCATCACACTGACCACCAATGTAAGAAGCATTCTTCTCACTGACCACCAATGTAAGGAACATTCATCCCACTGACCACCAATGTAAGACGCATTATTCCCACTGACCACCATCGCAAGGAACATTCTTCCCACTGAGCACCAATGTAAGGCACATCCTTCCCACTGACCACCATTCATCACACTGACCACCAATGTAAGGAACATTCATCCCACTGACCACCAATGTAAGAAGCATTCTTCTCACTGACCATCAATGTAAGGAACATTGATCCCAATGACCACCAATGTAAGAAGCATTCTTTCCACTGACCTCCAATGTAAGAAGTATTCTTCCCACTGACCACCAATGTAAGAAATATTCTGCTTACTGACCACCAATGTAAGAGGTATTCTGACCACCAATGTAAGAAGTATTCTTCTCACTGACCACCAATGTAAGGAACATTCATCCCACTGACCACCAATGTAAGAAGTAGAAGTAGGGTTCCCTAAACCCAGAAAGGTATTTCAAGGGTTCTTCCGTGTTGAGCAGGTTGAGAGAGACTAGTCCAGATCATGCAGCCCAGTGCATGATGTTTGGCTGCTGCCCATACACAAGCAGATCTAAATGATATTATATGCTAAGTGATGCCATTGCCTGTCACAGAGCCCATTGGACCTGTCGTGACTGAAGCAATGGGTGACTGCAATGTGTGCGGTAAAAGGATTGTTCCCTGTTTTTAACAGCTAATTATAGATTGCAGAGATTTCCAACACTTCCGATGATTGAGCGATTTTGGTTTTGCCTGTTTGTTAACCCGTATCCTGCCTGAAAGGACTGCTAACTCAAAACTTGTTTTTGTGCGGACAGCAGACTGAAGAATAGACACATGGCAAGATTATTATTGAACTTTTTAATTTACAGCATGTCTGCTATATTGGTTAAAGTTTAGTAGTGATGATGTAATATGGCGATATATGTGAAATATAGGATCATAGTGGTCTATCAGGTTTACCTTTTTTGATTTTTTTTTCTTTTTTAACCTTTTTCTCTGCATATAGGTCTATGTTTGTTCCAAGCATAGTGTTTAAAGTAGAACTATAGGTAACACTTTGTTTTTCATTTTGGATAGAGCAAGGGAGGGTTGTAACATCTGTCAGATTTTTTTTTTGCTATCTGTGTCCCATTGGGGAGATTTCCCTTCACTTCCTGTCCCATAGCCAAACAGGAAGTGAGAGGAAATCCCTGCAAATTAAGGGAATTCCTTGGGTCTCCCAAGTCACCAGAGCTAGTGTCCCCATTAGACGATTTCCCCTCTATTACTTTTCCGACAACAACCCAAATTTTGGGATTTTCCTTTACTTTTACTTTCAATGATAATGATAAAAAGGACAAGTAGAGAGTTTGAATCTCCCTAACAGGGGTGCAGACAGCAATAAAAATGGACAGGTGTTCCATTCCCTCTCTACTTTATCTAAATCTAAAAAAAAAATACTCTTTGCCTTTAGTTATACTTTAAATTCACATATTATTGAAAGACTCACTACCTCTGCTGACAGACTGTTCCAAGCATCAAATGACTACAGCAAAGTAAATATTAGGGACTTTTTAGGACAGCTTCCAGGCATAAAAATTCAACACATAATTATAAAAATAATTTCCAAATCCATTTATTCACATAATTCACATAAAAGTTTAAAATAACCACACATGGTGCTGAATACAGTATTCATTTTTGACACACAACAAAGGCCACTTACAGTATATATTTGCACTATACTGAGTGTTCCATTTTACAGATAGCAACGCATACCTTAGATAGCTCCTCTTCACCAGGGCCGGCACTGAAAGGGTTACATGAGATCAATGCAATGCCATTGATCTCAGTATATAGTGGTCACAATTGGCTTATGACATCATATGGTCCCATCAGTCTAAAGCAGTTGTCTCCAAACTTTCTAAACGAAGTGCCAGTTTCCTGTCCTTCAGATTTTAGGGGGCAGGACTGTGCCCAGTTGGAGTAAACAATGCCCCTTTTGTCTATTTTTGGTATTATGGGGAGAAATAGTTGGTGTCAGTGAGAGGAATATTGCTCCATCGTTGGTGTCAGTGAAAGCAAGAGTGCCCCCCATGTTGTTGTCAGTGAAAGGGACTATGCCCCATCGTTGGTATCAGTGGAAAAAAAAATAGTGCCCTATTGTTGGTGTCAGTGTCAGGAATTATGCCACATTGTTGGTGTCAGTGGAAGTACTAATGCCCGAAGACCCAGAAATAATCAAGCAAAGGGACGCAGTTTGGAGACCACTGGCCTAAAGCTACACCCATCTCCACAAAGTACATTAATATCTCTATGGGTAACTCCTATATGGTACTAAGAGGTAGGGAAGCCAAGGACTCAATGTTGTCCTGTCATTAAGCGGTAATTTTGGAGAAGACCTCTTTACTTCCCCATCCACAGAGTAAAAATGAGCCCAAGCATCAACAACTCTTTACATAAAATAATAATTTCTAAGGTTAGTTCTGAACTTTACCCTGCTGCTGCCTGGTATTAAAGTGATGCTCAAATATGAAGCAACTCTTTAAAACAGGATCAGACATCTGCATAGCCAACATAACCCAGAATACTGTAGCAAAAGTGATACAAAAAGTTAACAAAGATGGAACTGCAACCATCTCACAGAGACATCCGGGCCTTCCATGGAAGTTAACACCTCGACAGAAGTGTCTTCTGTTGAGAAGGGTTGAAGAAAATCACCATGTAAGTTCACTGCAGTTAGCTAAAGAAGAAGAAAGCCAAACTGGGGTGATTGTTTTCTGTGACACAATATGGGGTACACTGCAGAATATGGCAAACATGGGTGTCGTTCGCGATGGAATCCTCTCCTAAAGCCCTTGCACAAAAAAGCTATGGCGGTGAGCAGTACAAAGAAAAATGAATGGTGCCTACAGTGAAACATGGTGGTGGCCATGTCCTTCTGTGGGGCTGCATGAGTGCTGCTGGTGTCGGGGAGCTGCATTTCATTGATGGTATCATGAATTTACAGATGTACTGCTCTATATTGAAAGAGAAGATGCTACCATCACTCTGTGTCATTCGTCAATGTGCACTTTTCCAACATGACAATTTTCCAAAACACATATCTAAGGCTATTGTTGCATTTCTGAAGAAGAACAGGGTGACAGCGATTCAGTGACCAAGTATATCTCCTGATCTGAACCCAATCGAACACCTATGGGGAATTCTGAAGACACAAGTTGAGCATCACTCTCCATCCAGCATCCAGGCTCTAAAAGAGGCTGTTCTTGAAGGATGGAAAAAAATAGATGTTGCAATAAGTTGCCAATTTTTTTCATTCCATGCCTAGAAGACTTGGTGCTGTCCTTACAAATCATGGAGGTCATACAAAATACTAGATGTAGTAGTTTTTGTTGTGGGGTGTACTCATTTTTGCAATAACTAATTTGAGTTAAACTGAAGATTTTGTCATCTAAGTTATATAATTAACCTTACTTTCATGTAATGAGCTAAACAAATGTTCTATAAAACTCAGCTTTGCCAAAACGTTGGAAATTGTCCTTATGTTCATTGAGATATTGATTAAAATCTTACTTTTCAAAAGGGGTGTACTCAGTTAGGCTGAGCACTATATATATATATATATATATATATACACACACACATTTTTCTTTAAAGTAGAAAAATTACCCCTTCTTACCCTATTCCAACGCCCACCTATTTCTTTTAATAAATTCCTTTTTTCTTGGAGTCTTCTGACTGGCCACATAAAATTCTCGGGTCCTCTTCCTCTTCTCCCCGCTGCAGTTGTGGCTGATCTTCAATACATTATGACATCAGCATCACTCTCTGCTATATTGTACTATGAGCCCATGTTGATCTGGTGACATCCTCAGGGGTCAAGTCCATAACAATCTACGCTCCCAGGAACAGGATTGTGCTGGCTTCCATTCAATCTGAAAGAGGACCAGTGGCCTATTGTGGAATGAGTTATTGCAGGAGAAAATGCTGAAGTGTATTTTCATGAGGGCTACTTTTTATATTTTACAACATGCTATGCAGTTGTTTTTTTGTAAATTTTAATGAAATTGGGGTTCTGCCTCTAATAATATCTCTTCTGGTAATATTCAGATAGAGATACATTACAGCGGAAAGAAGGAACTGAAACATCAGTTTTACTGTTTACAATTGCACAGTATTTGTAAAAATTGAATATCAAAGTCCTTGGGGTAGGTGCCTCCAGACAAGCAGCTAAACAACGACTATGATATTTAGCTATTTGTATGAATTATTAGTAATTGTAAGTTGTCATTTTTCTTACATTTTAATACTCCATGTTGAGTACCACTTGGAACAGTAATTTGTCCTGTTCCACCATTGGCGATATGCTCCACCAATTCTAGGGTATGCTACCTAAAAAACAAATCTTGCTTCACGTTCTCATCCACCTAGTTGCAGGAATGTCCCTAAGGTCCCTTTCACACTGGATTTCTGAACAGGTCTGCCTGTCAGTCTTTCAAGGAGACCTGATCAGAAGACCCATGCAGGTCTATGGGCAGGTGGATGTAAATGGACTTGCATCTGTTTACACCTGCCTACCCCAGAGTCTGTCCAGATCCGAAAGACAAAAAATGAAAAGGACTGCATACTTTTCCAGTTTTCCTGACCTTAACATGATGGATCGGAAATAGCCTGACATTACTGACTGGCATATTCAAGACTTTGGATATCTTTTTATATCCTTTTCCGTCTTCATGAAGTTCCATTACCTTGTTACACAGGTCTTTTGAAAGTTCTTTTCTGCTCCCCATGGCTCAGTATCTAGCCTGCTCAGTGCATCCACATGAGAGCTAACGAACGCATTGACTATTTACACACAGACACTATTTGCAGTATAAAAAGACACAGATGTGGGAAATTACCCTTTAATTGCCATTTTAACCTGTATCACCTTGTGTGTCTGTACCAAGGCCAACCATTCCAGGGTATGGAAACTTTTGATCATGGCCATTTGGGTGATTTCTGTTATCATTATGATTTAACCACTTTTCTACCATGCTATAGTCGAAAGAAGGCTACAGCGCAGTAGTCCAGTTCTGGGAGGGCATCATATGACGTCCTCCCAGATTGCACCCCCCCGCGAGCCCCCAGCGGCACGCACCCGGCACTGTCTGTGATCACTGTGTCTTTTGGACACAGCTGATCACATGACATGGTAAAAGGCCAATCACAGCGGCCTTTTGTTATGTAATCAGCTGTGTCCAATCACAGCTGACCGCTCTATAAGTACATTTGTCGGTTATCAGCAGTACTTTCCTCATGCTGTGACAGCGTGAGGAAAGTACTGCTGGTAACTGGCATCCTTCAAAGCATCTGCACTGACATCTGCACTGATAACTAGGGCACTGATTATCAGTGCCTTGTTTATCAGTGCAGCCCCAAAAGTGACCAACAGTGCTGCCCATCAGTTCC